GTGCACTTGATGGTCGGAAAACTGCAGTTTTTCAGTGTCTGTTATGTCAAACCTTTAAAAACGCTCACAATTCAAGGCCTGTTTTAGAGTTTAGAGCCGGCCGTTGATAAAGTTAGAAAGCTGAAATGGAAGTAGACAAGGAATGTGGGTTATGTGAGGCATGCTAAACTCAGTGACCTTCAAAGTACTTTAGGCCTCTTCCTCCCCCTTGCCATCTCTTCGCTGTTTGCCACTCTGCTTTCGCTATATCCTCTGTGTTTGTGTCTCTAACTTGTCAGCATTTTTCTTCTTATGCGGGACGCATTCTAGAGTAAGAAGGAAGATCACAAGATAAGTGTCTGTTATCAAGCATTTCCTGACAATCTCAGCCAACTGCAAACTGGAAGTATGTATTATATGTATTTACAAACACCTTTAACAGAGGTGATGGCTGTGCCAGTGTTCAGGTGTGATGGGGGCTGCTTCAGTGGGACTTCGCTTTACCAGATGATAACCTGGCCACATTTTTGTTTTGACTTTTATAGTCATTTTTAACTTGGGAAGGGAAGCTACATGAGACAGCAAGAGCTGCTCAGCCATGTCCTGGAGCTAGATACACTATTTACATACAAATCAGCAAATATAATTTCAGACATTCAAATCAGAATTATAGACAATAATACAAATCTTGGCATAGTGTCCAAAATTCTACTGGAGAAATGAAAACAAGATAGTTCCTCATTAGGTGTTTTGCTGATGGTTGTGAGCAGTGCTGTATAACATGCGAAAGGCATAGCATTTAATTGGCATAATTTTCCCACTCAAAAAAACACTATGACCCCTCGTGCCTTGCATTCCTTAAGGTTTTTCGACTAATTTATTCAGGTTTTGTCTGCAATTTGTCAGCTATCTGTAAATAATCACAACACATCTGGTTCAGAGATTCTTTGTAAAAACAATTAGCAGTTACATTCCAAGAATTTGGGTGGTTTTCAATTTGAAATTTCTGATACATGTTGGCTGATACAAAACTGTGAACCCAGGATGATAAGATGGTGAAACAAATTACACTATTATTATCCTATGGTTATTTTTTATGTGAGTCTTATTGTCTTTCTACATCTTTCAGACAATTCACAGAACACAAATTCAGTCCACTGCAGGTTAAAAGAAATGATGGCAATATAAAAGAGCAATTTCTTTCTCTGTATAACTATTACAAGACCCCACAGTCACTTGCTCAAGCTGTTTCTCACAGAGAATCAACTTTCGGTCTCTGACAGTTACCTGATTTGTGTGTGTATGTGTGTAACAGCATGTGACCAGTCACAGTGAGATCAAGAGCATAATAGAAAGAGGAACACAAGGAATTTTTATGCAATTTACAACTATATGCTTCACCAGTTGTTGTACAGAAGGCCCCTGATCTGATTGAGTACAGAACCCCATTGCTAATGGATGGCTGAGAACAGCCGTGAACCTTTGTGTGACAGTGTATGTGTGTGTGTGTGTGTATGTGTGTTGAGTTCTCATAAATGGCCTTTGTCGCCTGTTTGGCAAAGCACTCCAACCCTACGTTTGGGCTGTTGTTGGCCTAAAGGCTGAGGACATGTGCCAAGTCTACACTGTCCCAGGGCCTGGAACAAGACACACTGTGCTTCCAGACTTCCAAGATAAGTTCATTGTTAGTTATGCATTCATAACTAATTTCATTTATGCAGACAGCGAAACAGGACAAAACGATGTGGTGGTCAAGCCCATTGGTTCCACAGTGGCCAACTTAACTTCTGGTGTATCTTTTAAGATTTGCGACTTAGGGAAGATTAAATCAGGGAGACAATCAAATCATATAAATTGACTGAAAGGTCCAGTGTGTAGGATTTAGTGGCATCTAGCGCTGTCGTTGCATATCGCAACTCCCTTGTCTCACCCGCCCCTTCCAAGTTGCAAAGGAGAAACTCTGGTGACCACAAAACGTGCAAAAAATGCAAATGTACCTATGTTGGGGCTTTTGTTGCCTTTAATCTATAGTAAAGGCTGTAGAGTGACAGGAAAGGGGGGGAGAGAGAGAGAGAGAGAGAGAGAGGGGATGACATGTAAGGGCCACAGGTCAGAGTTGAACCCATGGGCCGTCAACTCTAGCTATCAGGGCACCCCCATAAAAGGCTAATTCTAGGAAAACAAAAACATACCTATATTCAGTTGATTATACACTAATGAAAACATAGTTATGAATATTATATTCCATTTCTGCTAATAGATCCTCCTAAATGTGACACAATGCCAATAATGTGAACAGTTTGTTCTTATTCTTATTCCACTTCATTAATGCGTAGGTATTATGATTTTCCTTAGTTTCGGTGGTATATGTATATGCTAAAGTGTCGGATGTTGATTTTAAACGAAGCCAAAGAGGCAAATCCCTGTGAACAAAAAGCTCAGAATTCAGACTGCTCTGAACATTTCCAGTCTAAGAACAGTCTAAGTTATCTGACCCCTCTGCTCAGGAGTCACAGCGAACCGCAGAAAAGTTTTTCTATATAAACTTTCAGGGACTTACGGAGTTCACTGATGGACATTTACTTGTATCTGTTAGCTAACTGCGAACTGCTGCTAATGGACTGAGAGACCGGCATTCCTGGCGATTGAAAGGTCTTCTACTAGAGATGTAACATTAAACACCAACAGTACGCCTAATTTAGCTGTAGGCTAGCAGCACCAACTAGTTAGTGGCTAAATTTCCATAAGAAAATGAAGAAAATATTGAGAAACGATATATTTTCATCAAATCAGTGAATAAAGCTTTGTATAGTAATCAGTGAGGCCAGGCCCCCAGAGACACTCTGCTCTGGCGGCGTCTTTTCAACCTAATTGTTGTCTCATTTGTGGTTTGATAAAAAGTAAATTCATCAGATTCTGTGCCCCATAATGCAATTGTCCTTGCTGCCGAGAGCACATCAGTAAAGGGACAGAGCGGTTTCCTGACAAGCACTGAATTCTGCTCCTCAGCATGTTTCTGCAAAGTTGGCCAATCAGAACAAAGTGAACTTTCAGGGAGTCGGGGGGTTTAGGGAGATGGCTTGTTTCAGACAGAGGATAAACTGAGGGGCTGTATGACTATAAGATTAAGATAAATTAGGATGTTTTTGAAAAATGAATCATGCAAAGCTACTCTGGTGGCGTCTCAGACTAAGAATACAGAGGTGAAGGTTGGAAAAGCTTTACAGTGTTTACTGAAATTGAAACCAAGTGGTGGTAGCAGTAGTACCACTACCGATGTTGCTCTACACAATGTCTAATTTTTTTGTTTTACTGAATCAGTTTCTCATTATTACATTAGATTTCTATTATACTGACTCACTGAAAAATGACGAGAGTAGAAGGAAAGGAAAGATAAGAAGAGATATTTAAACTGTAGACACATGTGAAGAGAGACAGGCAGGCATGAAGGGGAGTCAGAGGGATGTGTTGGCTGTTAGATCCACTAAAAATGTTGCAAAAATTCTGTAGTACACAAACCAACTTATGAACACACCCACTCAGCATCAGACTGACGCACATGCTTTCACATATGGGTCGGATGCTCATCAGTCACACTTACCCAGGGTGACACATCATCGCATATCTTTCCCTTTTTCTGTTGATTAAAAACATCTACATTTCCGTTAACCTGACTTATGGTTCTCTGAATGGATCTTTTCTCATTTTGGGAACATTCAATACTTTTCATCATGATCTATGGGGAGGGGTACATTGAGTTTAATGCCCACCCAATGTTAAAGATGCAGATCCAATCCTGAATAGACGGTTTGGTCTGATAAAGTCCATTGGCTGTCGAAAAACTTTAATACATTTATTTTACTAACACAGCTTCACAGCTTCATTAAACACAGGAGGTCTGTCTCTCTTTTTCTGTCTCTCACACACACAAACGATGCATCCTTCACCTCTTAACAGTTAGTAAAAGTAAAATAGTAGGCTACATGTGGATATCTATATTGTCTCTTTTAGCCTACTGTTTGGCTGCACTATGTAGAAAAAAACGTCCACTGTTGCAGGATTTAACCCATTTCGACGTGTAAATGGTGCACATAACAATGTAATGTCCGTTGACGGCCCCATTGTGGCCTACAGTTGCTCCTCATGTCTTCACTCTGCTAAAAAGGTTAGTGCTTTTAGCTGTTTGAACAAAGAGGCCAGCTAGCTAGGTTACTGTGTGTTTGGACAGGCTGATAGCGGCTGGCTACGGGCCACCACTATAATCCACTGTTTGTATATTTCCTTGTTGGCCCTACCGGTGTAGGGCCAACAAGGAAATATACAAACAGTGGATTATAGCGGTGAACCGTGTGAACATGGCCGGAGCTCTGGGCTGATGTGCAAACATAGTTGGTGAAACACCCAGTATTGCATTACAACATGCTTGTTGTCAGTGTGTGCGCACCAGCAAAGAGTGGCTAATGATTGGCTGATATGGGTACGTCTGCAACTAGCCACTTTTTTCACAAGTTAACTTTTCTTTCACAAAATGAATGTCCGTCACTCAGAAGTAATGAGATACCAACATTTCATTGTGAGATTTCAAGTCAGAAACAACATTTATTCCATAATGATATAAAACAGCGATGCTCATTTCAAGCTTTAACCAGCAAATATTTGGTATTTTTATTTGATAACTGACCTAAACGATCAGCTGTCAGAATTATAATAACTAATTGCTCTGCAGATTGACTAGATTGTTTCAAAACTAGATTAGAGAACGCAGATGAAACATGCAGCCATCCTCACATTAAAGGATTTGTTGCCCAGTGAATATTTGGCATAAACAAATACAATCTTGTGTGTTATTGAAAGGATTGTGTTCTCAGTGTCACCATCAAGAATAATGCTGTTCAGGAACATCTGATTACTAGTTGCCACTTTTTATCTCTTTGGTGGTGCTGCATTTGTATTCTTTCTACAAGCAAATTATGAATTGTGATTTTAAACAGAAGGGATTTTCTGTCTTTGCTTCACCTCAGGACTGAAAACCTACCTGATCTCAGGAAGGAAGGTGGAGCATGATGTGCAGTGTAGCTGTTCTCAGGTGGGACTGTCAGACGGAGATTTTGTCAGAGTCAACCTATCCTCCTGCCCTCAGCCCCGCACACCGGACCTCATCCCCGGGGGAGCGCAGGCTGCTGAGCCCCTGCTTCCCCACCAGCCACCAGACAGGATCGGGGTAATTCCAAAGAAACAAAAAATTGAGCGTGGAATATAGAGATGGATACCTCAGCTCTTCGTTCTGTGATGCTGTTGCTAGTTTGTGCTAGTTTCTAAAGAAATTGTGTGACTTGGTGAAACACAGCCATATAACTTAAACTGCTGTGTGTGATAAGTTTTAATTTGCCCTTCTGCCCTTTCTCTCTCTCTAGCCTCCCTATGTGTCCCGTAGTGTGGTCTTGTCTTCGGGGGCCGAGCAGAGTGATGATGTGGCTGTGCTGAACGGCTGCCAGGAGGAGCAAAAGACCAGCAGCGCCAAGGTACAACACACACACGGATGAACAGTGGCTGCACCAGTGCTTTGTCAAGCACCCCTATAAGCATTTGTCACTTGAGTTCCTCAAAAATCATGCCCTGTGTCCCACATTATTTGTGACCTTTGTATTTTCTGCATCTCCTTAATCTTGTCCCTCTCTTCTTTGTTGTCTTTTTCACTTTCTGCTCCCCATCCAGTTTATCCCAGGTCACAGCCCCAGGGCAGCCAATGGTCTCCTGAGTCCCCCGCTAGAGGACCCAGTGCGAGCCAGCCAGAGCTCCCTGTGCGACATGCTCCAGGAGAAAGAAAAGAAGACTAGCACTAGCACAGGCACTGGCACCAGTCTAGGCATGGCTGGCACAGGGGCAGCAGGCCCGGGAATGGACCACTCTGCCCTGATCCAACTGCGTGCCAAGAACTTCAGAGAAAAGAGTGATGGCCATTTTGTGGATGTTATCAGGGAGGACAGGTGAGCAAAGATGTTAAAGGTAGAATTTATGAATTTACAGTACCAATCAAGAGTGACTGATTATGTATGATTTTTGAGATAGATTAAATAGAGGTGAAGGGATCCATTTAGTGAATAATCATTAATAAGATCCCATGTTTTTTAACTTTCTAAATCAATAAGCATCAATTATATGAATAATATAAACTGGAAACACACATGAAAACAGACAAATGTGACAAACGCCACACAGAAAGGCCTCAAGATGCTCTTTCATGCAAAACATTGGACACATTTTAATAGCATAACTCCACTTGCAGAGGCCATAGAATTTAGAAATCTAAGTGTGTTTTCAAACCTATAATTCCTTTGCTCTTGTTCGAATGTGGATGAGTTGGTAAATGTTTTCCCCTAGGTTTGTTTTCTTTTCACACAGAAGAAAATCCAAGCAAACCAAAATGCATCACTAAAAGCCACATGACAAAATTCACTCTGCTCATTGGTGATATGTGTCCAGGGCGGGAGCAAGAAAGAATCCACAGGAAGAAGGTCATATCTGCCCAAATATTAAGAAGGCAATGTACCCTGATTCATTCTCTGGCTAGTTGCAAGTAACTGATGATTGTGCTCATCTGCAACCCAGAATTTAAAGCGCACTCCAGAATTTGTTTGTAACTGGATAGAGACCACTTCCTCTTAATGGTTTTGCACCCGAGTCGGATTTCTGTGTTCAGATCAATCTGACAATTCAGTCAGATTGTTGAAAACGCGGATCCAGTCTGCAAATTGTTAACATCTACTCAGGATAGAGTAGATAGAAGAGTATAAAAGTACATTAAAGAGTACAAAAATACATATATTTCCAATGTTTTTTGTAATTTTGTCAGTGAAGGTTTATTTTTTCAATAATATTTCATATTTCAGTAAAAATCATATATTTGCTCATATTTGTTTCTCTGTGCTTCATAGTCTGATGAAGGACTACTTTTTCAAGCCACCCATCAACAAGATCAGCCTCAATTTCCTAGAGAGACCTCTGGAAAAGGCCTACCGCAGCAGCTACAAGGAGGAGGTACACACACAGACAAACACACTCCTAATTCTGTATTATCATAAGTTTGTATTGACTTTCATTACCCTACCTGTCACTGTGATTATAACCCTCATCACTGCCTTACTCTGCGCTAACCTTAAAATATTTCCTGGTGAAAGAGTGTACAGGTGAGATGCTGTGACTTTAGAGTCTTTTCCTAATTTTCCTATCCTAGTACATGGATGGGAAAAAAAACACAAGCACATATCAGATGATACTCTGGGATGAGAGACACATGGACCTTAGACAAGCACTTAATACATCTAATACATCTAGGTGTCCTGGATAGTGCTCTTTGTGTCTGTGTGTGCATGTGTTTGTGAGTGAAAAGGGCAGGGGTTATTGCAACGTTTTCCTTGTATTCCCTGTTTCCCAAATTTTATTTTAGTGCGACACATACTCTCACACACCCAGGACCAGTTCCAGTTGGCCTGCATTGACCCCTCAGCCTTGCAGCCCCCTGCTGTTACACCAGTGTTACTACAGAGCTAAAAAATGCTGAAACATTAAACATCTGAGTTCATTTCATGGAAGTTTACACATAACACAACTACACATAACTACTCAGATTTAGTTTAGTTTGTTTGTTTTTCACTCTTTTAAAATTAGTTTGGGAGACAACACAAGAAAGAAAAGCTGAACAGAATTGTGTTTTGGGGGCTTATGATGTATGCATTGGATAGTGATAAATTAATTCAGCCCTTTTCTGCTTTTCCAGCAGTTCTCTTTTAAGTAAACACAAAAATTATGGTACAACACCTATGTATGTGCAGTGTAAGCTGCTGGCATGATTTGCAGGGAAATCGAGCCACCGCCTCTCCTCAAGTTAACCTTTTCTCGTCCCCTCCAGGTGAAGAACCAGGTTCAGGTGCAGACATTTGCGAGCTCCACCTTCAGCTCCTTCCTGGATGTTCTCCTCAGCTGTTTTGTCTTCCTAGCCCTGACACTGGCCTGCTTCCTTCCACCTCTGGTGAGCCCGGCTACCGTGGGCCCTCCAGCTCCCGCTGCTCTGGCTGTGGCTCCCCTGGCCGGTCTGCTGGAGCTGGCCTCCCTGGTGCTGTCCATACGGTGAGGAGGCTTAGGCAGATGACATACAGATGGAGTGCGCACACATGTTTTGTATCAAACAGAGTTCGACCAATAAGATACCAAGACCAAGATTTATTGTATCGAATATTTTGACTAGTTTAGTGAAACAAAATGACAAGAACTCCATTTTCCCCTAGATTTTATTCTTTCCTGGCAGGATGGAAAAGCTTCTGAAATGTCATTTAGGCTGTTGTTGTCAGTGCTGTGCCATCAGGGCCCAGGAATATGTAAGTGTTTCCAGTGTTTCCAAATTGACTGCTGTAGTGTTTGGTTGGTCTGTATCTCTTGGGCCTCAATGGCACAGGATGGAAAACCACTGAAAGATCATCACGTAGCACTACAACTCTCCGCTGAAACCAAAACAAATTATTTTATGTGGTGGTTGGCTCCCACACCACAATGGATTAACCTCCTTGGTCAGCTAAAACTGGCTCATGGCTAATTTTTTGTGAAAGACCAGTATTGGCTCAGAAGTTGGCAAAATGATGTCCTGGTACCAAAAATATCCCATTTCTGCTTGGAGTTTCGAGTTTTTGAAGTGCTGAAGATGTTTCTTGTTTATTGTGTGGTGTGTGTTTATGGGAGTGCATGCATCTCAGTGGAGAGTATTTGAAAATTGAGTTAATTTTCACTCATTGTCGTGCAGAAATGGGCAATAAATCTTCATCTTCCAGCTGGGACTTGGACAGCATAGTTGTGTTTTAATAATGTGTCTTCATTAAGGATTGATTAGAGTCTGCTGCAGTTTTCCCTGATTGAGCAGGAAGAGGAGTGGGAGTGGAGTGGGGAATAATATATATATATATTTTTTTATCCCTATTCTGTGTGATTTGTATTTCATTCAGTTATCGCATTACATGTTTTTTTGCTGATTCTGAATTTGGTCTCATTCAGAAAAATTTAAGAATGAACTGTTACTTCTTTGGAGCTGTGCTGCTGGAAACTCATCCTCTGTTGTCTCCTGTCCTCCCCTCTCCTCCCCTTTTCTCTCCTCTCCTCTCCTGCAGTATGGCCTTCTATCTGGAAGAGGTGATGAACTGTACTCGCTCCCTGCTCCTGGTGGTCTCTGGATGGGTCCCCCGTCACATGATTGGGGCTGTGTTAGTCTCCCTCCCCGCCATCTCTGTCTTGTCCCACCTCACTTGCAGTGTCCACTTGCCCCTGCAGGTAAACATTTCTGTTTGTAGCTATAAAGTGGAAAAGTGTGGGTGAATGGATAAAAGAGGCTAAAATGACTGTGCTATAAGTGAGCACTCAGAGATTCTGTGTGTGCAGTATATCCATCACTGTCTTAAGAATCCTGCTCTGGACAAATGGACTTCACATCACTCTGTTTGCAGCTTGTTTGCTGGTTTGGTGTCTTCTGTAGTCCTGACACAATTAGTTGAATAATTAGTAGTTATAGATTAGTCAGTTATGAGAATTAACAATAACTACTTAACAATATTGCTGCTACAGCAGCTGTCAGCACTATTACTAAAGCTTCCATCACTGTCACCATTAGTACCAGTACTGCAACTGATTTAATTACTGCTACTACTCTCACACTGCCTCTGCTGTCACAGGGGCTACTGTTAATTGTGGTAGTGGTACTACGTGTGACTTCCAAGCTATAATGGTTTGCCCTCACTGATATTTTTAAGCCAAAGTAAGCAGAGAAGAGTTGGGCGGTTTGAAACCTTGCCCATGGTGGTCTGAAGCCAGAGATCCTTGGAGACCAGTAGAGCCGTTAGCTGGCATTAGCCCTGATAGGAAGTGTAGAAGGAAAACAGCTAGGAGGCTTCAGAAGGCTTCGCCTGTAGACCTTGGCACCATAAATGTTGACATTTCTTCTTCTCTGAGTCCTGCATGTGAGAAGATTGAGAGCAGCCATACTTTGCAGCGTTTGGTGCTGTTTTGAGTCAAGGCCATATCCAGCTCTGTACAAGTTTGACACTCTCCTTCCAGCTTTGTGCCAACGGCTGCTTGCAAGATGTGTGGTGTTTTTGATATCTTGTTTTTCAAGGATTTTAAACACCCCATTTCTCTATCCGTTTCTCTCCCACCCTGCTCTGTATATCCCCTCCACTCTTCCCAACTCGTCGGGGCTTGCAGATCAAAGCAGTAGTCTCAGGGAGGGTTTTTAATTAGACATGCAGTTTTCTGGACTTTAATGCCTTTGAAGATATAAAACCCAATAACAGGGCTGTGGGGGGAGGAGGGGGAGGACGTGTAGGGATGAGAGGTAAAAAGATGTTATCCTGTCACTGTAATCATGAACAACCTGTAAATGTCCCTAAATTACTACTGCTGTATCCATGTATGTTTGTCTGAATAGATCCATGTATATTTTGGTAGCACAAATCAGCATGTTCTTCATCAAATATATCATAGAAAGAAACATCTACATTTTAGATTCCAGTTAAATTACATTACTTTGCAAAAGTGATATTCCACTGGGCTAGAAAGAACTAATTATTTAGGAGATATTAATCTTTCTTGTAACCAGTATTGTTATCATGAATGAAAATGGACAAGCAAAACTATTGGTTAAAAACACATTGCGCAAACAAATACTTTTCTCTTAACACAAGTATTAAATTTTACTGAAAGCATGACTGATTAAAGAAAGATTCAGGTCAAGACATAGCCAACAACACGAAGAACCCTTGACTACAACAACAACAACAGTCCAGTCATAACAGATCTTACTCCATATGGCCAGAGAATTCTGTACAAAGCTATGCCAAGGATCCTACATGTAGCTATTCCAGTCAGAACGAAAGGACACAGTCATACATTTATTTGTCATGCTCACTGACTGTAATTGCTGAAAAATGTGGCTAATTTAATTTCTATATGGTGTTTTTAATACTTTTCAGTGGTTATAAAATGTCATTGCTTGAATTGAGTGCATTCAGTTTAATGTCTCTGGTTTATCTCAAGTCTGAAAATTAAAAGAATAGCCTTTTTGAAAGTAAATAAAAATTCTGAAACACACATTATCACCAGACATAAATACATGATAGGAGGGCAAGATAGTTCATCATGATCCCCTAAATGTAATTAAAGTAACTAATTGCTGCTTCTCTACGTTTAGTTTGCACTCTGGGAAGTTAGTAGCCCTCTGAGAGGGCAATATATCATACGGTAAAAGACAGTCAGAGATATATTATTATTATTTTGGTCTTAAGCCATTGAGAAATAGACAAGCAGCAGATTGCACACGGGCAGCCAGTGAAGAGGATTAATTACATTATTTAAAACGCAAGGTTGTAGAATGAAATTCAGACAGTAGTTCCCTTTATGCTACTTTAAAATAATAATAACAACAACAACAACAACACTAATGATTGATTAATGAGTCATAAAAAATATATATTAATTTGTATGATGAATTGTTGAAGAAGAATTTAACAGTCTCACAGCCAGAGGGATGAAACTGTCTTTAAGTCTGGTGGTACAGCAGCAATCAGCTCCTTGGTTTTGCTGACATTGAGCAGTAGGTTGTTTTCTGGGCAGCACTCTGCAAGATGATTGACATCCTCCTGATATGAAGTGTCACTGTTGTTTGGCCAATCCGGTTGATGATCCTGGTTCATCTGCAAACTTGACAACAGAGTTGTCTCCATGTCGAGGATTTAATTAATGGGGGTAAAAAGGGGGGGGGTGTTTAAAAAAAAAAACAAAAAATTTTTTGTGTATAATATTATAAAAAAAAAGAAAAAAAAAATATATAAAAAAAATATAAAAAAAAAAAAAAAATAAAAAAAAAAAAAAAAAAAAAAAACCTAAATTATTAAAAAAAAAAAAAAAAAAAAAAAAAAAAAAAAAAAAAAAAAAAAAAATAAAATTAAAAAAAATAATAAAAAAAAGAAAAAAACCAAAAGAAAAAGAAAAAAAAAAATGATAGATATATAATATATAGCTCATCTGGTAGCGTGGCCTCAAACATGATTTAGGGTATTCTTCCCTTTGAAGCTTTTGTTTTTTTTTTTTTCCCCCCCATTTTTTTTGGTTTTTTGGTGGTGGGGGGCCCCCCTTTTTTCTTCCTTCAAACTTTCTTTTTTTCTCTTTCTTCCTTTTTCCTTCACCCAAAGGGAGGGGGAAAAAAAAAAAATGGTGTTTTTTTTTTTTTTTTTTTTTTTTTTTTTTAGAATTATTAAATAGTTTGTGGGGGTTGTTGGGGAAAACAAAAAAAAAAAAAAAAAAAAAAAAAAGAGAGGGATAAAAAAAAAAAAAAATTTTTTATAAAAAAAATTTTTTTTTTTTTTTTTTTTTTTTTTTAACAATATATTAGTATTGTTTTACTTACACAATGGTGTTTTTAGCCACCATAGCTGCATAATGAGGGAGTAATAATAGAGTTTTGTTGTTTCTGTATTTCAGGTGAAAAAGCAGTGGAAGCCCATATGGAATATACTGAACTGTTATAAACCCTGCATTTATTGAGTCTACCTTATAATTACCTCTCCTATACAAGACACACACAACTCAGTTGAGCCTTACAAGCTGTGTTTCAGTGTTGTCCTTAGCTGCTTTGTTAAGTCACTTCAATTACTTTTCTCCAGGTGACCATGTTCTTGTGCTGTGCCACCATCCTGGCCATCATCCAGTATTGTAACTTCTGTCAGCTAAGTTTTTGGATGCGCTCAGTCCTGGCCACTGCTACAGGGGTCGCCTTGCTGCTGTTGCTGTACAGCCCCTTTCACAGGTACAGGTGAGCGCTTTTTATTTGCACACAAATACTAAATGTAAATACACTTGTGTGTGCATATACACACCCACACATAGTAACACTATGCACGCTATGCATCTCACATTTCATTCAATTAAAAGACTCCAGTCTGAGCTCCAATAAGTTCATACAAATGAAATATGCAAGCACGGATCATCCTGCAGTTCTACAAAATAGGCCACAGTAGTCATGTATAGCTTGTAATTAAGAACACTATGTGAAAACTCAAATTTACAGCTTTGTGTTTGACGTGTACTGTATCCCTCATCCACCTCTGTCTTTGATAGCCATAAGTTTGGGCTCCAAATACTAGGTCATCAATAGATTTATACATGAATTCATTATTCTCAAACATTTGTAATTTACCCAGTTGGTTTGGTACTACATACCTTTATCTAACTGTTCTTCAACCAGGAAAGAGGATTTAATCTGATCTGTATTATATATGCCAATTCATGTGTCTGTGTGTGCGTGTGTGTGAGCCTTCCTTTCTCTTGACTGACACCACTCCTGTCGTCTTTCAGCTCCAGTAATAACAGCTTGCCAGTTCATGGGTGAGTGTCTCCGTGGAAACAGAGGGGTTTGATGGATGAGTGACATTTGAAGGGTCAACAGGAGCAACAGCTCTCTTTTATATTTTTCATAACTACAGCTCTCTCTGGCTTTTACTCATTCTCATGCTTTCCTGCTCTTTATTCCCCTATCCTTCTCTTTCTCTTCCTCTGTGCACCAGCAGTAATGGCTGCTAAATGTCACTAGTGGTGGAAATGACTCATACAGCCTGTGTTGGCTTGGATTTTGTATGAAAGCCACGAGTTAACAAACTACACCACTGAGGAGAAGAGAGGGCTGGAAAGACCCAGTTCAGATCAGTTATCATTTTGATTGGCAGACATTTCTCAAGGCATTCACTATAAAAAAAATCAGCTTGAATCATACTTGAGCACACAGCTGCTTTAACAGAGTATACTTATATGTACACTTGTGGTAATGCTAAAGTAATTAACTTATGGCAATATTGTGGTTGCAGTGTGTACATTGTTCCAAGTACACCTTCGGATGAAAAATAAACTGACAAGAGGAAGTACATTTCTCAGTGCTTGCTCTGTGTTTTGTTCACTGTTTCAATGGTCAGATTTTTGCTTAATGAGTTAAGATTGAATTAGTAGCCTGCATTCCAGGATTATCATTTTATCCCTCTACTTCCACTTCAGTTAACAATTTCCCACATCTCTCACAATGCTCTGTGACAACAACCCAAGGATAAACATGTTATTTTCAGTCAAAGATTAACATATGGACATATAGGTGGAGCTAAGTAGTCAACTAGTTGTGAGCATTGGGTGTGATTTATTGAGGCCAGTTGAGAAACAAGTATTTCTGTGTCCTTCAGGGTGTATTTAGGGTAAAACTGCAGATCTAAAATGACACTCATTGATTTTTTCATTTCATCATGATGTCATGTCATCTACATGTAGCACACACCACCTCACAAACTAATTTGGGCTAAGAAATGCAAGCTAAAACACCAGTGGCTGCAAAGTGTGCCAGTGGTTATGTGGTGGATTCTCCAGCCTCCCTTTCCTCTCTACTCTTAATCCTGTTAATCACCCTCCTGTTCTGGTGCACCTTTGTTAAGTATCCTTGTGTTCAGGCTAAACCACTCTCACATTTCTTCTGTTCTCCCCATTTTCTCTCTCAGACTGAACATCTCCACATCCAATGATGATAGTGCAGCATTAGTAACTCCTGACCCTACCCAGCGACCTCTTGACCTTCTGGTCCCAGAGGCTGTCCTGGCCTTCTTCTTGCTTCTTCTCCTGGTCTGGTTCCTCAACCGTGAGTTTGAGGTCAGCTACCGTCTCCATTACCATGGCAATGAAGAGGCTGACAAACACCGCTCAAAGATCCAGATGATGCGAGACCAGGCTGAGTGGTTACTTGGCAACATCATCCCTATCCACGTCGCTGACCAGCTCAAGGTTTTTGTAGTTGTTGAAACAAAAATATCCGACTTAGTTATGAAGGGATAGAAAAACGTTTCTGTAATCTAGAACATACCATTTTTAAAGAAATCCAAAAATACATTCTTAGTATTTTTTCTAACTTTCTTAACTATTGTATCGTAGCTATCATTGTAAATATATATTTTATTATATATTTTAGTGGTCAGAATATTTCAACACATTTCATATAAGTTCTATCATTGTTTCCTCAGGTGACCCAGAGCTACTCCAAGAACCATGACAGTGTGGGTGTGATCTTCGCCAGTATCGTAAACTTCAGCGAGTTTTATGAAGAGAGCTACGAGGGTGGAAAAGAGTGCTACCGTGTCCTCAATGAGCTCATTGGAGACTTTGACGAGCTCCTTCGCAAACCCGAATTCAAAAGCGTGGAAAAAATCAAGACAATCGGTGCCACATACATGGCAGCGTCGGGACTGAATGTCCGGCAGCTGGCTGAGAATGATGAGGACTCTCCGCACGCTCACCTGAGGGCACTTTTCAACTTTGCCCTGGAGATGATGGGCGTCCTGGACGACTTCAACAAGAACATGCTGGGTTTTGGTTTCAAGCTCCGTATTGGATTTAACCACGGGCCGCTGACGGCGGGCGTGATCGGCACCACTAAGCTGCTCTATGACATCTGGGGAGACACGGTCAATATTGCCAGCCGCATGGACTCCACCGGCGTGGAGTGTCGGGTGCAGGTGAGCGAGGAGAGCCACGCTGTGCTCAGTGCCATGGGCTTAGAGTTTGACTATAGAGGCACAGTGAATGTTAAGGGCAAAGGTCAAATGAGGACCTTTTTGTACCCCAAAAGTGGGGAAAGTATATGTCAGGATCGAACGGAGCAGGGCGCCAGCGTTGGACCATCGTCCATGGCATCAACAGCCAATAAGACTGTTGCCCAAGCAGCAGCTATTCCTCCCTCTTTTTCCTCCTGTCCCAGTCCTCTTCCTTCCTCCTCCTCTCTTTCCTCACTCCCTCCTCAACCACAAAGCGCTGTAAAGCCCTCAAGAGCAGGGCCTGAGACTGTCCAAGCTAAGTCCACAGAGGTGAGGGAGGAAGGATATAGGGACGCTCCACACCTCCCCGGGCAGCCCCCTGCCACAGCTCTACACCTCCCTCCCCACTCTGAACTAGGTCCAGAGCCTAGTGTTGCACAGGTGCCCTCCCAGGTGCAGCCTGCTCCTCTCGCACTTCAAGAAGAAGGGGATGAAGAAGAGGAGGCCAACGAGCTAACAAAACTCAACGAGGAGTTTTATGCTCGTCTCTGATCCCTTGTCTCCTCTTCCTCTGTCTTCCGTCCCCCTGCTGCCCCCAGCATCTGCTTCTCCAGGACTGACTGCAGGCATGGGCAGGATGTCCCTTCCTTTAGGCATGGGCCAAGAGTCTTCGGCACGGATGAAGACGAGGGAGTTTATCTGTCCAACACAAACAGTGGCTACAGTGGCTATAAAAATGGCTATTAGCGTCTTTCATGGGGATGTTGCCTTGAGTGCTGGGGTGGGTTAGACCTGTGTTGAGCACAGCAGTGTATAGGGGAGGAAGCTGAAAGGGGTTCAGAGGGAAGGAAGTGTTGTTGGTGTTGTTCATGGTGTTTTTTCTTATTCGTTTTTGTTATTAAGTGCCTTCAGGACTAGAACAGTGAACGAACAAACATAAATACTGAACAAAGTTTCAACAATCTTAGACTACGGAACATGCTGTGGTTTCTTATGCCATGCTTTTATTTTCAATGCAAGTATTTCTTTAAACAAATCATTATTGTTGTGCCATATCATTTTTTTTAACTTGATCAAAGTCTTGACCTTACTTAAAGGAAAATAATTTTAGATTCTATATAAGTGCCAGTGCAGCATGATGGGCTGAGCAGGGAACTATGGGAAGAATGAGGGAATCACATGAAGCAGTGTTAATTTATGTATTCTGCTTTGATATAAGGGCTTAATACAGTATTCATTTGTGCTAGAGTCTCGGTAAAAGGGGACATGCTATGAAGCAGGCTGCATAGATTTTAGTTTGTGTAGCAGCTAAATGCACATTTTAAGCACAGGTCTTGCACAGTGTTTTCTCGACCACTTGTATTTGGTAGTTATTACATTGAAATAGCTTTTAAGAAAGTTTAAACAGAGCTCTTGTCTATCACAACAAGTACAATCAAAAGCACAAAATCAAATAAGATAAGGGAATATAGATTTGGAAGAAAGGGTGTTTTTAAAAAGTGAGATCATCACAAAAACAGGAAGGCACTTTAAAATATACTTAAGTGATACTCCACACAAGATGTGTCTTCTGAGTATGAAACATTCCCTGTAGACCTGAAAGATGGGTGTAAAAAAGGTTGTAGTTTAATCCTAAATGGAGCACAGTGAGAAGGTGAGATCAGATTGAAGTGATGTTGGATTCCACAGAAAGTTCTCAAACCAATCCTGCAGCATATTCCGCTGATCTGCCGTCCCTCTGCATGCTCAGTGGGTTCCAGTTTTATATCCACCAAAGTATGGCTGAATGCTCTTATTCAGTGTTCTTTCACGACCCGGTCTGCTTTTTCATTGGCCAGAATCTCTCCATTGGAGCTCACCCATTGGCTAGACTGAAACCGACTGTGCAAACTACAAACTTGTTACACCTTCATATATTCAACATTTTTGTTGTTAACAAATCCCGTGAAAAGACCGAAACCAACCGTTGTTTTCGCCTTTTTTCAATTATAGCCTGCCGTAGAGTAATGACAGGAAACGGAGGGAAGAGGTTGGGAATGACACGCAACAAAGGTCCCAAGCTAAAAATGAAACGGGGGACGTTGTAGTTCATGGTTGCACTTTAACCTCTAGGCCAGCACTGCAGTACACAGACAATACTTGTTAGTAAGATTAATTGATAGTTGGTTTCGGTATTTTCATCAGATTTGTTACCAATCAGAAAAATACACCAAATGAACCCTTTTAAAACTTACAGCGGGGTGCGAGTTTGATATTTTGAGTGGAGTATCGCTTGAAGTGGGACTGTGAGGGACAATCACTGTGTAGTTCTTGATAGATGATAGGGTGGTCCACATTGCTGTTGGTGAAAGTGTCAGAGCACAGATCAAGTAAAGTTTCTACAGTACTGTGTGTAAAACCTCAGACTCAAGTTTTGTGACGTTCCATTCGTTGCCTTCATTACCAGAAGAGAAAAACAAACATTGGTCAGTCCATCAGTATATATTTATTCAGTAGTTAAGTATTGTCTGCCTTTAGCTGTGTGATTTGCTGTTGAAGGGGTGGGACTTTTAACTTTATCCTGTCACAGCCTTTATACGGAGAGGGCCCTCTACTGTATCAATATACTTAAATTGTGCCACTTTAATTGAGTGAACTCTAGGTGCAGTGCAACCTAAACTAGCTGATTGTTTTGTGGTGCCTAAAAGTATGACTGTATTTTTTGAGTATTTTGGTTTTCAGAAAGTTTTTTTTTTTTTAATCAATGCTGTTTTCATAATGAGGATAGATTATGATTGTATGTTTGAAGAAAATATGCTTGTTGTGCAGGTTTTGCTGCAATTGTTTTTGACAAATTCCATCCATTTTTATGGTTTTTTTTTGCTCTTTTCCAGTTCTTTCATTCTGTCATTGACCGGTCACTTGGGATAGTGTGGTGGTGTTCCCATCGAATAGCTGGCACCTCTGTAGTTCTCTTTGCTCTTAACTCACTTCATGCTTGGTCTTCACTCCTGAAAGCACTTGTTTCCCCCTTGTACTTTGTGTGTGTGTGTATGTGTGTGAGAAAGATATTTTACTTTTTACTCCGACTCAGTAACACGGAAAAGATCACTGTAATATGATGCGAAAGGAGATCAGTCAACTACATGGCCACTGTTTAACTGTTATTTTGCTGTTGCTGCCATATCTGTGTTACACAAACAAAGCTAAATTGTTGTTTAAAAAAATAGAAGACCTTGAAATTTGAAACCTGTATAATGATCCACAGCCACATCTTTTAGTGACAGGTCAACATTTAGGCTAAAGAATCTTGCCATGAGAAGTTATGGCCACACACACAGATACAGAGTTGACATGTAAAAGGAGGAACCATTTCTATCCGGGGCATAAAAAGCCATTGTGCACTCCCAACATACACAACCAGTGCCTTTTGAATTAGGAATATGTTTAATCAGCGTGTGTGAGCTATGATTATTTGCATCAAATAATCCTGATTAGTAGCATAAGTACCTTGAATATCCAAAGAAGCTTCTCCAGAAGCCGTCAGTCTAGATTGAGACGCAAAAATGGCTGCATGAGATCTGCTTTGTTGACTGAAATCTTTTTCAGAGGCACATCTCTTCTCAACACGCTGAAGTTTGCCAAACCTAATAAACCATACCATGGCAAGTTATGAAAACAGATGAGAACATCGGGTATGACATTTTTGAAAGAAAGTTCTTGTTTTTTTCCCCCACATCTTTCCACATTACCCTTCTGCCTCACGTTGTTAGATAATCCTCGGTGATCTTAAGGTCATGTTGCTGTAGGCCCCAACATGCACAAGAGTGACAGACACAAGCCATAGCAGATTTCCAGGTCGGGGACTCCACAGGTTGATGGGCACACCACCTCTCCAGTAGCACACATCTGTACACACGTATAAATAAAATATTAAAGTGAACACTGCTGGCTCTGTTATCTGTGATACAGTAGGGGGAGAAGAGTGTGTGATGTTGTTTGCATGGAAACTAATGAGCAAATTTTCCTCTTTGCTAGACACACTACATGATTGATTCGGCACCATGCTATCATCCTTTTATTTCATTTCAATATCATTATTTCTACAATTATGTTGAACATTAAGCATGTGTTGACAACACGCAGGATTCTTCAAATCACTTTTATTTTTTATTTTTTATCATTTAAGCTTACTTGGACTTTGTCCTTCTCTGACAGTGTTTTGATGGATGATGTGTGTATGACGACATTTATTTTTGTTTTGGCCCTAGAAGTCTGGCGCTCCAGTTAAACAATGCAATCAAGAAAACAGCCAAGTGCATTGAGGAGAAGTTTTTAGACATTCAGTCATCTCTTTTTGTGGAAGAAGTTTGATTCTGCTTTGTGACAGAACCATAAGGGAGAGGTATAAAGGCACAGAGTTTTATTAGGACTTGTTAAAATCATCACAGCAAAATAGCATTGCCTAATCACTCATTTAAATGGTGACAGCACTACATCTTTTCATTATAAATTGTCTAGTAAATTCAACCCATATGTGTTTTTTATTACACTGGGACAAAAAATTAGACAGAGTTGTTTGATTTAAAATCTTTGTGTATTTGTTTTGTTCCTGAATGAGATGTATTATGTATGTTTTGTGCACATTACCCATGTATCATTTATCAACACATGATCGTAATCTGTACACATTTGCACAAAGCACTCAGTGTTTGTACATATGCAGTTATTTTATGTCACATATGATTTTTTTTATACATGTGCATGTGTCAGATTTTGCCAGAAAACAATGAAACATTGACGCGTATTATCAAATTGATTCAATGTGTGTCTATTTGAGTAAGTGTGAGTGTTATTATTTTATTACTCAGTGTGAGAGAAATAAATCTCCGAGCAGAAAACAGTTGAGTGCACTGTGAAGTATAAAAAGAAGATGAGTTCACATCAAACCGTGTGCAAATTCGCCTGACAAGCAGACTGAATAGCCATTTTGTTCTGTTTTTAAATTTGCTGATTAAATCGCTGATTGTAGTTTGGAATCAGTCTATATGCATGTTGCAGGTTGGCCAAGTTGGAAGGCATCCAGATAGTACCATTAAGGTGGAGGCCTTTTTGATCATCAGCCAGTGACTAAAATGCAGCTTATACAGTATCATATTTTACTAAATACTCACTGCCAGGATCTGTGTAAGTTAATGATTTGCTTTAGACATCAGTAGTTATTCACTTTGAGCAAACAGAAAGTATAGTAAGCTGTTTTGTTTTGTTTGTGTCTATGTGTTGTAGCTGTGCTCATCTGCAGGGAGCATGTGCACAAACCTCTGCTTTACTTTTCTGATGCCAAAAATCTAATTATCATTATTTTAAAAATCCAGATCCTGTGAAGTGTTTACCAGATTAAAGGATACATAATGTGAGTCCAGCTTATAGTATATCTGCCTTTTTAATTGTTTTAAAACTTTTAAATGAAAGAGACAGGTAACTATACCAGCATTGGGGAAATCTACAGGTGTCTTTTTAACTTTTTAACTCATAAAATAACATTGAACACAAGACTATATTTAATGTGCAACATTATTTTAAAATAATTTATTTCACTCACTCAACATTTTAAGATGGATATTTTATATTACATTTCATATATAGTGTAACTATAATGTACTTGTATAGCTACCCTAAATGACTTATAAACGAATAAACTGGCTTGTGAATTGCTTGTATGTGTCTCTGGCGGTGCTGTAGCGCCCCCAGCGGCGAACAGGAGCGGTGTTTTCACGTAGGGCGTGATTGCGCGGCCCCTCCCCCTCCACAGCCGATCTGGAAAAGAAAAAAAAACTTTTTTGTATCGAAGGAATCAACAGCCGCCATCTTGTCGTGGCTCGGAATTAGGATTTCGGTCCAACACTGGTTTTTACGTAGAAATCGAGCATCCTTACCGCGATATGACAGCGTCCTTCCCCCGAAAACGACATCTTAACATCGACTCGGAGACATTTTGTGCGAAAAAACGGGCATTGGATCGGTGGTCGTCGGGCAGAAAAGCTCCGTATATCTGATTTCCCCTTCAGAGTGCGGCGATTCAGCCCCTGTCGCCGTCCGGGAGCAGTATTGTTTACCGTAGGCAAGCGGAGACCACATCGTGACTTTCGAAGTGATTTTCAAAAATACAGCATTTTTATGCAATTGTGCATTTTTGTGGAGCTTCGCGCGATTTTTGCATGAAGAAATTTGACGTCACGCAAAATGGGTACTTCGATCATCTAGAAATTACGACCTTTCCCCCGGACTGCACCAGCCAACCTCATTTTATTGGATTGTCATTCTGAAGTTCGGTTTTTTACATGGGGACATTTTTATTTTGGGTTATTTAACGATAATAATGTGGGTGTTGGGTGTTGGATTATCATGGGGTGAATGGCGGTGGCGAAGCGGGGCGCTATTGCATCTCTTTTAAAAGACACTGACTCTCACTGCGAGGAGTAGCTAACGCTAACAGTTAACTTAGCTGGTAGCAGGCAATTAGCTAGCTATTAGCCAGTTAGCTAACGTTAGCAGGCTGTCAGCTTGCTAATGCGCTAACCGGGAAGGCTCGGGTTGATAGAACAACTTCCCTGTCACAAGGTAATCAACATTATCAACTTAAGCAACCGACCGGACAACACAACAACTATGTCTGAGAACCTGCTGGAAACCGGACCTCCCAGCTCAAAGCGGGCGAAGCTGAATTCACCTGCCCTGTCAGCGTCTGATGGACCAGGTAAAGGCCTCAATACTGTCTGCACATGTAAACACCAGTATCGGTACACCGTTGCACATCACAGGTCCGTGTGACATCGCGTCTCAAGTGTATGGACCACCCGTGCAGGACGGGTTGAAGTCATCAGGTCAGCTGGGTGAGCTGAGCTGTCTGTCGGTAACGTTGGTAGTGTCTGTGGTTTGGGTCTGTAATTGGAGATTACCTACTCTGGACACTCATGTGCCAGTTTATTAGGAACACTTGCTTTGTGCTGATGCATTATTCCTAAAAGTAGTGCTGGCATAGATCCCACCTCCACGAACTGTAACCCTGAACACCACACAGCTAAAGCAAAAACTGAACATTGTTGGAGATTATAAAGTTGGATGTCTTGCAGCGCTGTTGCTTAAGTTTTGACCTGCTGTACCACACTGGCTGCTGAGTGTATGTGTATACATGTTTGTGTGAGCAGGAAACATTTCTTATAAATGATTGTGATCAGCACTGTGTAGGAAGGTTTGAGCTAATGATGGAGGCACGGTGATATCTCTATAGACCCTTATTTTACATACTCAAGTAATGCAAAGTTTGCCCAAAAAAACCCCCAAAACAGCTGGTTCTAAAATCAGAGGCCACTTGTGTTCATAGTTTACTGTGCATCAGAAATCGATGTCTAATATTGGCAGACTGGCCCTTCTAAAGCAGATCCATTAATGTGGAGAATGAATGGAAAGGGGTTTTATGGATTCTGGTAGTTTCATGGTATATCACAGTATGTGTTGTTGCTTTGGCACGACTGGGCCTATTTATAGGTTTATAGTGGCTAGACATATAATATAGAAACATTTTATTGTTGTCATGTATATACTGTGATACAACCAGATGTAAAGAATTGTTATTGTACAAACTGCACAGTAAAACAGAACTTAGAAATAACCTTTTCCAAACAATATATTTTAGTTGTATAAACACTATATATCACTATAGTGATATAAAGTCCTCATATTTCAATCAAATGTTCTATTACACAAGAAACAAATACAGCAGTCATTTCAGCTAAACAATGGTATGGGTGGCGGTATATAAAAAATTCTGATCAAAAGGGAAATTTAAACCAGTATACCGGTTCATCTGGTATATCGCACAGCACTACATTCAGTGTTCAGGTTTGTGTAGAGTAATGATCAGGTGTGCCAGCAAGAGAAAACAGGCTGACTGCCAGTGTTTGATACTGGTGCTCAATCCAGCTACTAAACATGAATTGGACATGAACGCAGTCATCTCTTGGCCACAGAACCCCTGAGCAACCGTATGAACCCATACATCATTCAGATTCTGGTGTGAGCCGACTGCCATTTTGATTGTAAAGTAAATATTGTTCTTGCTGATTGCGTTACACTTTGTGCGAGTATCATCTGTGACATTTCTCTCTGTAGACACATATACTTGTGAAATTAATGTGTTGGAATACATGATAGAAATCTACATGTACCATCTGTGGCAGCACTTGGGATTATGGCTTTCTGTTTAGTATCTTTACTGTGTTTAGTTTTAGTTTGAAGACATATGGACATTAACACAATTTCTGCCTTGGTCAGAGAATAAGATAAGAGCCTGACGGTAAAACTAACACCTGTTTTTAAGGGGAAACAACACACACTATATGTTTATTATACTGTATGAAAAACATTTACATGTTTGTTCTAGTTCAGAAAATGAAAAAATAACTAAATTTGGTAGTTACTGGTGGAGTAAACATTAGAAAACATACTTAAACACACTATTGTCATGCTCTTGGAAGAAAAACAAACTGATTTCCTCTAACTTTTTGGAAACATTTTCTGATATGAAAATATGATATTCTGTGAAATTGTTTCTTGGCCGCTTGACAGATGACTTCCTGATCCATTTCTGAAGTAAATAGGTTGTTAGGAATTTATTTCGTTGGTGGCAGCAAAGCATGTAACATTAGCTGGCAGACAGCTCCTGTAGTTTCAACTTGATTTACTCACTTTGGAGACTAACGGTGCACAGGAGGCAAGGTTCGGTTCATAGCCTGGTTTAGGAGTCACGGTGCGAGTTCGGTTCAATGTGGGAAAAACAAAAGCATATGGATAGATTTATTTTGAACAATCCTCTTGCTGAGGACAAAGGTAGCATTTTGCCCAAAAGCAACTTTGGTATACTACTTTCATGATATAATGAATATGGAACATGAATATGGAACATTTCTGTATTAAACTGTAATAACTGTAAATGTATCAGCCATAACAGTATGACCACCTGGGCACCCTGGTGGTCATAATGTTATGCAGCCCCATAAACAACAAACTGTGATGCACTGTGTGATCTGACACCTTTCTATCAGAACCAGCATTAACTGTTTCAGCAGTTTGAGCTACAGTAGCTCGTCTTTTGGGCAGCCAAGGCTCATTGATGCATTTGGGGAATGATGGCTGACCCGTGTGGTCCGATCCACGACCCTGTCTGTGGTTCACCGCTTTTCCTTCCTTGGACCACTGTTGATTGGTACTGACCGCTGCAGACCGGGAACACCCCACAAGAGCTGCAGGTTTAGAGATGCTCTGACCCAGTCGTCTAACCATCACAGTTTGGCCCTTGTCAAAGTCCCTCAGATCCTCATGCTGCCCATTTTTCCTGCTTCTAACACATCAACTTGAGGACAATTTTAATTTACTGCCTTTATATATATCACCTACTGACAGGAGCCATGATAACCAGATAATCAGTGTTATTAACTTCACCAGTCAGTGCTCATAATGTTGTGGCTGACCACTGAATAGACACTTTCCCAAAAGGCAATAGATCACAATAGGCTATAAAACTGAAAAGCAAACATATATCTATTGTACTGTATTAAGCAGTAAACATTGGTAGGGGTGATGTGTTTCCATTCACATGCCCTACAACGGTGGGGAACCGTAGACACACTGTCCTTTTTCTTACCCATAACTCTCTCCGTTGTGAATTTGGGGATACCGAGTAGCGCTGCGTTTCAGACAGTGCTTCTGCTTTGTCGAGTCTCTTCAGCCTCGCCTCTCTGAGACACTTTCTTGTT